TTCAGGACCAATTACATGCAAAATTTCAAAATTTTTAATATTATATTCAATGTTATATTTAATAATATGCAACAGACACTATTTTCCTTTTCCAACTACACACACACTGCATATTCATGAACAATATTTTGGGAATTTAGCCATTTTATTTGAAATAACCGAATTTCATATACATTTTCGGTTTTTTTAAATTCTATGTATTTGACCAATTAGTGGGTTCAAGTATTGTTCTATTTGTCTCAAAATGGCCGGCGGATATACTGTCTCAAAAATAATGAATCAAATTTTTATGATTTATCTTAAATATTGTTAATAAACAAGATTTAAAATTTAAAAAGATGTCATGAAATTTTACCGAATAACTAATCAAACTGATAGCGCTTACACGACTTAACAAACATATTAAAAACTCATTTACATCCTTCTTAGTTGTTTTAATTTCTCTCCTGTGTATGTGTATATATGCAAAATATTTTAAACTGAAGAAAATGAATACATATTATATAATATTTTTTGAAACTTTGATATTTTATGATTTGATTATTACGATATTTTAAATGAAAATTATACTGAAACGCCTTATTATATGCAATTTTTAATTGTTAAATGAAAATTTACTTTAAAAATTTTTTAAGAAACACAAACAAAAATATGCTAAATACAAAATTCTAAAAATAATATTTCTAATTAAACTATTCTAATATAATTATTAAATTAATAAAATTATTTTTTAAATTCTTTAAATTCGAAATAAAACATAAATATTAATTAAAAAATATTCAAAGGTAAGTTCATTGAAAATAAAATAAAAAAAATTCTTTCTATTGAACAAAATAATTAATGCCTTCTCACAAAAAATGTGCCATAAAAATTTACTCTAAAAATATTTCCCAAATTTTGTTTTGTGCGAAAATTAAAAAAATTAAAGAGAGTAGGATTTTATACACATTCAACTACAACAACAACAACTTCAAATATCTTCAAATATAAGAATTAAATTTTTTTTATTTTAAGTTTTACATTAAATTTCAAATGAAATAAATTCTTTTTTTATTTAATTTGAGATTAATATGGAATTTTTTCCTTTTTACCTTTAACAGAAAATGAAAACGAATCAAAATTAAACTGTAATGAATAAAAAATTATTCAAATTTTAAAATTAAAATTTACACAAACAGTAAGTTTGAGAAACAGAAAACCAACCACCAACACTCAGAATTTTCAATGAAATTTCCAAAAAAAACAAAAAATTCTGAATTTTTGATCATTAATAAATAATCAGTGATTTCAATTATTACAAATTTCCATTAAAATTTTGTTTGATACAATCTTCCTTCAAATAATCGTCGTTCAAATAATCGTCATTCGAAATATCGAACTGAATATTTGTTATATTCCATATTTCAAATGAATTTCTTAAACCAATTCGCTGTCAAGTTCAAGAGATTATGACAATAATTTTGTTTGCATAGAGATTCTCCTCTTACAAATTAATAGAATTATACGTAAAGTTCCGTTTACAACAAAAGAGTGGAACAAAATTGGCATATACTCTACGGCAACGCTATATAAATAGCCAAAATTAATCGAAATGGGCTAAAAACGAATTCAAAATATTATAAAAATAATTTTAAATATCAGGAACGAGACTTTAAGCTTATCTTTATTCACGTATTTACGTTTCTAGATCTAGTCAAGTTATATTTCTACTTATTATTCATTGCATTCCTACTAAGTCATACTAAATTTGTGGATATTTGCTATTTAAAATTTAAAGCTTAGCATATTTTGAATTTTATTGTATTCATATTTTACAAATTCTAACAATTTTACGAATTCAAATTCAATTGAATTGATTATATTGAAATTGGAAATTTCATTTGAGATTCTAATGCCTCACAATTAATTTCGTTTAAACACAAATTTTAATATTTACTTTTTTTCTTTTTTTGAATTTTTTATTTCTAAAGCGAGTAAGCTGTTATACAAATTAATATTTTTGTTTTTCGTATTAGATTTTATCTTTCATATATAAAAAAAAAAAAACTATAAAATAAGTTGAATGTTTTTTGGTATAATAAATTATCTTTTAACGAAATAATATTTAATATATTTAAGAATTAACGAACAAAAAAAAAAAGCAAAACAAATTTTCTAACAAGCTGCCCCGGGATCCTTTGTTGTTGTTTCTTATGTCTTCTTAATTAATATTTTTACTAATATAAAAATCATATTTTAATAATTTTAAAATGAATAAAATACTTAAATTAATAATTAAAATATATAGAAAATAGAATTTTTAACTATAATATTACTAAATTTTCTTTAATTACTATTTAAAGAAAGAAAAAAAAATTTTTTTTATTCTTTGTTTTTTCCCTTTTATACAACGACCTCTAATATCATCATCGTTTAAATATAAATATGTTGGTTTAAAATCAATTTTCATCCAATTGAAAATTAAAAATTTAAAAAAAAAAAATCATCTTTATCGATTTAACGAAACATTTCTCAACTTAACGAAAATTTAACGAAAACTTAACGAAACCAATATTATGTCGGAAACCACAATAAAAACTAATTTCATGACTTTACCGAAAAAAAAAATTTAAAATTTTTTGCAAATTATAGAAAAAAAAAGTGAGTATCAAAAATGTATTAATATGCAAGTTAAAAATATATACATTTTTTTTTAACGAAACAAATTTTTGATTTTTGAATTAAAAGAGGATTTTGAAAAACAAATTTAATTTTAATTTTTTGTATTGTAAAAAAACAAGAGTTTTTTTTTTTGTTTTGTGTGTGAGAAGTTTTGAAACTTTTAATAAATTTTTTGCAAGTTTTGTATTTTTTTTTTTACCCCTTAACAGTATTGCGTAATATTGTAAAATATTTTTCAAAAAATTTTTTGAAAAATATTTTAAAACATTTTAAAAAAGCGCCCACAATAAGGTTGAAATTTTCGAAATTATTGAGAAAATGTCCAAAAGAGCATACTCTCAATAACTTCAACTTTTAATAAATTAATTTTCTCTGAATACAAAAATAAATTCTCTGTACAGAATATTAAATTTAATTTTGTTACCCTAATAATTCGAATTATCAAAAATATACAGTACAACTCTAATTATACGAACCTGCTACAAACTAAAATTCTTTAAATCGATTTTTTTCTTTTATTGAATTTAAGACTCTCAAATATTTAATTAAATTTCTTATATTTAAATATTTCCTATTGATATTATTTAACATTTATTTCCAATTTATTAAAATTTGGATTCGTATTCTATTAGTTTCACTGTACATATTTTTTGATAGCAAAAAACCGAATACGATATTATGTTTACGATAATATTGTACAAGCTCATGTCGTCAACATTTTTCTTTAGATTCTTCATCAAAATATTAACAGTCTTTAATATTAAATTCTTTGCATTTAAAATATTTTTTTGTTTTATTTTTGAAATTTTAATAAATATGAATTTTTTATGAAATGAAAATTAAAGTTCTTAACTGTAAAGAACTTTAATAATCAGAAGAATTAACACTCATTTCTTAATATAAACACAAATGCAAGGATTTAAATTTTCTAATTTAACTTAATAAAATAATAAAATGTTATTTATAATATTTAACATTTAAAACATAAAATTATTTTTTAATTTTTAATGAAATTAATATTTTTGAATTTTAATTTTTTGATTTTTCCAATTAACGTGTTAAAATTTAATATTAATGCAAACCAAAGGATTTTTTTTTTAATTTTTTCGCCTTTATAAAATTGTAATTTTTGGAATTTTTTCTTTAAATGCATACAATGGATATTTGATTTTTGAATTTTGAATTATAAATAATTCTTTTTGTATTTTGAAATCATTTTTTTTTTTTTGGAATATTTGAAAATATTCATTATTATTTTTGATGTTAATGTACATATTATTATAAAAAGCTGCTCACTTTTAAGGATTACTTTACAATTATATAAAAAAAAAAATATCACATATTTTTAATTTTGAATAAATTCTTTACCATCTATAGAACAAAAAATTATATAAATAATTTGCAATTATGAATTTGAGTACTGCGATAATATTCTAAGAGCGCTAAGAAAAATTTTACTGTTCTATATACAACTATACAAATATAAAGAATTGTGTGAGATGTTTGATTTTAAAATGAAAATTTTAATAACAAAACCATAAATAATATTAACCTGTACCTCTGTTGAACCAACAACTTCTTATTATGACAAATAATATTTGTGTGTGTTATATAAATTTATTAATCAAACTTATTAACTCCTTGAAATATGCTATAGAGAAAATAATATAATTGCAATATATACGAAAGAAATAATGTAGGTAACAATCGAGATATTATGGAAGTTTTTAAATTAATTTTTTGTTTTTAATTTTTTTATTATTGAATATTTTTAATATGGTTCAATATAAAAAGTATACAATAATTAATATAATATTACTATTGATATTTTTAATTTTTGTTTTGAGTTAATCTAATATATTGAAATTCCCATGTTGCAATGGTGTCGGATTTTTTTTAAATTCCCACTATTTTTCCCCCTAAAATTCTCTTATATTGTATGTGTATATTAATAATTTAAAAAAATATATATACAAAATGGTGAATAATAATAACCACCATTTTATTTAGCAAAAAAAATATATTGGCATCGCATTGTAATACTTTTGTGTTAATTTTATTTTGATTTCGCTCCCAAAAACTTGAAATAAACTTATAACTTGAATGTCAATAAAATTTACTAAAAATAAAAACATACGAGAGTTACTACGAAATTTTTTTTTAATGATTTTGGTTTTCTTTTGAAAAAAAAAAAGTTTTTTATTTTAAATTTAATTTAATGAAACTTTTTAATTTTAAAATTAAATTAATTTTTTTAAATTACAAAAACTAATATAAATTTTTATTTTTCTTTTTATTTTAATTTCTACTTTTTTATATAAAAAATGTGTATTGAATAGTGCCTGGAGATCCACAAAATGTTCAAGTAACTGCTTTAAATTCAACTTCTATACATGTTATTTGGGAACCCCCACTAGAAAAAGATCGAAATGGTATTATACGTGGTTATCATATACATGTTCAAGAGACAAGAGATGAGGTAAGTATATTTTTAAAATTTCAAAAAATTTAAAAATTATAAAAAAATTAATTTTAAAAATAAATTAATATATTTTTTGTAGGGTAAAGGTTTTCTCAATGAACCATTAAAATTTGATGTTGTTGAAGCTTTAGAATATAATGTAACTGGATTACAACCTGATACAAAATATACAGTACAAGTAGCTGCATTAACACGAAAAGGTGATGGTGATCGTAGTCCACAAGTTCAAGTAAAAACACCTGGTGGTGTACCAATACGGCCTACTGTTAATATTAAAATGCTTGAACGTGATCCAAATTTATCAATTGAATTAGAATGGGAACGTCCACAACAAACATATGGTGAATTAAAAGGGTATCGTATAAGATGGGGTGTTAAAGATCAACCATTACAAGAAGAAATTTTACCAGGACAACATAATACAGTTAAAAAAATTAAAAAATTAGAACGTGGTGTTGAATATGAATTTCGTGTAGCCGGTCAAAATCATATTGGTACTGGACAAGAAACAGTTAAATATTATAGAACACCAGAAGGAACACCATCTGGTCCACCAGCAAATATAACAAAACGTTTCCAAACACCAGATATTGTATGTATAACATGGGATTTACCAAAACGTGAAGAAAGAAATGGTCAAATAATACGTTATGATGTACGTTTTCATAAAAAAATTGATGCACCCGGTCCAGATCGTAATACAACAGCAAAAAAAGCTGTTTTTACAAATTTAGAAGAAAATACTGAATATGTATTTCAAGTTAGAGCATATACAAAACAAGGTTCTGGGCCATTTAGTGAAAAATTAATAATAGAAACTGAACGTGATATGGGTAGAGCACCAATGGCTGTACATGCAGTAGCAACAAGTGATCAAAGCGCACAAGTATGGTGGGAACCTGTTACATCACGTAATAAATTAATAGGTTATAAAATATTTTATACGATGACTGCTGTTGAAAATTTAGATGAATGGCAAACTAAAACAGTTGGTATTACAGAATCAGCTGATCTATTAAATTTAGAAAAATTTGCTCAATATGCTGTTGCTGTAGCAGCCCGTTTTAAAAAAGGTTTAGGTCGTTTAAGTGAAAAAGTTACTGTTAAAATAAAACCTGAAGATGTGCCTCTAAATTTAAGAGCTCAAGATGTTAGTACACATTCAATGACATTATATTGGTCACCACCAATAAGATTAAATCCAGTTAATTATAAAATATCATTTGATGCTGTTAAAGTATTTGTTGATTCTCAAGGTGTTACACAAACTCAAAATATACCAAAACGTGAAATAACATTAAAACATCATATAAAATCTCATACAATTAATGAACTATCACCATTTACAACATATAATGTAAATGTAAGCGCTGTACCTGCTAATTTAGAATATCTTCCACCAGCTAAAATAACAGTTACAACTCAAATGGCAGCACCACAACCAATGGTTAAACCAGATTTTTATGGTGTTGTTAATGGTGAAGAAATATTAGTAATACTTCCACAAGCTTCCGAAGAATATGGTCCCATATCACATTATTATTTAATTGTTGTTCCTGAAGATAAATCAAATATGCATAAAAATCCAGATCAATTTTTAACAGATGATTTATTACCGGGTAGCAGTCGTAATAAACCAGAACGACCGAATAGCCCATATATTGCTGCGAAATTTCCACAACGTTCAATACCATTTACTTTCCATTTAGGTACTGGTGAAGAATATCATAATTTCACTAATCGTAAATTGGAAAAGGAAAAACGATATCGTGTATTTGTACGTGCTATTGTAGATACACCACAAAAACATTTATATACATCAAGCCCATTCTCGGAATTTTTATCATTGGATATGCGTGAAGCACCTTCAGGTCAGTTTTCGACGACTACTCCTTCTTCTGCATTGTTAAGTTGTATGCAAACTTGTGTTAAAAATTTCGCATAATTGTATAACAATTAATTCAATAATTTAACTGTTTTCAATTCTTTACTTTATTAAATTTTGTACTTTTTAACTTTCTCTTGATTTTCTATTCAATTATGTTTTTACTAACACTCTATGTATGTATAAGCTTTTTTTACTCTTTACTATCTACTCAAAATTGTTATTTCAAATACTAACCACTTTATTTTTAAGTTCTGTAATCCTCAAATAAATTTGTTTTTCGAAATTTTAATTTGAATACTAAAAAAATAAATAATTTTAAACCGCAATTTCATTCTGCATGCATATCATAAATTTAAACATCTACATTAGCCTTAAAACTATACACATATTATGTACTGCAACCCAGTTCAAAATGCAAGCACTTAAAATATTCACAATGGAACAACTTGAACAAATTTGAAAATATTATAAGATTGAATTAAGACATTCTAAATGCACTTTTTCAAATTTTTAAGATATTAATATGAAACAGAGGCAGAATCTAAGATGTTCAAAAACGATAATTCATTTAAGATTTGTTATTTTTAAAGCCACATATTTTCCAGTTAGTTATACAAAGTTCCAAGTTATAGCAAATTACTCTTTGTAAATAATCTTCCTTATAATTGGAAAGACTTTTTTTTAAATATTCCTTTAATAATTTATTAAATTTATAATTATTAAATTTCCTTTTTGAAATGTAAATATGTACATATTTTATTTTCTTTTGTTAATATGCGGAAACTTTTTCTTCCTATGTAAATCATGTTCATAATATCCATTAAAAATATCATCATCTATGCTACATATCTCATTACAGGTGAAGGTCCAACAAGACCAGGGCCTGATGGTCCTCTACTACCAGAAATGGATGGAGTTCACGTAAATCGTGGAAGTGCTGAACCTGCACTACTTTGGGTTATTTTACCCGTATTGACTGCAATTTTATTAACGTTCCTTGTTATAGTCTATGTAATACGAAGAAGAAGACAGCCATGTAAAATACCAGATCAAGCAGCTGTAACACGTCCTTTAATGGCAGCTGATTTAGGTGCTGGACCAACACCCAACGATCCAGTTGATATGCGCCGTTTAAATTTCCAAACACCCGGAATGATATCACATCCGCCAATACCGATATCAGAATTTGCAAATCATATTGAACGTTTAAAAGCAAATGACAATCTTAAATTTTCTCAAGAATATGAAAGTATTGAACCAGGTCAACAATTTACTTGGGATCATTCAAATTTAGAATATAATAAGAGTAAAAATCGATATGCGAACGTAACAGCTTATGATCACAGTCGAGTTCAATTGACGGCAATTGAAAGTGTTCTTGGATCCGATTATATAAATGCAAATTTCTGTGATGGTTACCGAAAACATAATGCATATATTGCAACTCAAGGTCCATTACAGGATACATTCAATGATTTCTGGCGTATGTGTTGGGAGCAAAAGGCAGCAACTATTGTTATGATGACACGATTAGAAGAAAGAGCTCGAATTAAATGTGATCAATATTGGCCATCTAGAGGAACAGAAACTTATGGCCAAATATTTGTAACTATTACTGAAACACAAGAACTATCAACGTATAGTATACGAACGTTCCAACTTTGCAGACAAGGTATATTAAATAAAATTAATAAGTTATAATTTTATTTTTAAAAATTAACTATTGTCTTTCGTTATCAGGATATAACGACCGTCGTGAAATTAAGCAATTACAGTTTACAGCATGGCCGGATCATGGTGTCCCAGATCATCCAGCACCATTTTTACAATTCTTACGTCGTTGTCGTTCGTTAACACCCATCGATTCGGGACCAGTTGTTGTTCATTGTTCTGCTGGTGTTGGTCGTACTGGTTGCTATATTGTTATTGATTCAATGTTAGAGCGTATGAAACATGAAAAAATTATTGATATTTATGGTCATGTTACGTGCCTTCGGGCTCAGCGAAATTATATGGTGCAGACTGAAGATCAATATATATTTATACACGATGCCATTTTAGAAGCAATTATTTGTGGAAACACTGAAGTATTGGCTAGAAATTTACATACACATTTGCAAAAATTAATGATGACAGAACCCGGTGAAAATATAACTGGAATGGAAATAGAATTTAAAAAATTGGCAAATGTTAAAGTTGATTCATCGAAATTCGTAACAGCTAATTTACCATGTAATAAACATAAAAATCGTTTAGTACATATTTTACCATATGAATCAAGTCGAGTTTATTTAACACCAATACACGGTATTGAAGGTAGTGATTATATTAATGCCAGTTTTATTGATGGTTATCGATATCGGTCTGCATATATTGCCGCACAAGGGCCCTTACAAGAGACTGCTGAAGATTTTTGGCGAATGTTATGGGAACATAATTCAACAATTGTTGTGATGTTAACAAAATTAAAAGAAATGGGACGGGTAAGAATTATCTAAACTAGAAAAATTTATATAAAAAAATAATAAATAATTGTTTATTTGTAGGAAAAATGTTTCCAGTATTGGCCACATGAAAGAAGTGTCCGCTATCAGTATTACGTTGTAGATCCAATTGCTGAATATAATATGCCACAATATAAATTAAGAGAATTTAAAGTAATTTCAATAGATTTTATCAATAAAATTAAGATATTTAATTATTTATATTAAATATAGGTAACGGATGCACGTGATGGTTCATCGCGTACTGTTAGACAATTTCAATTTATTGATTGGCCAGAACAAGGTGTACCAAAATCTGGTGAAGGTTTTATTGATTTTATTGGACAAGTTCATAAAACAAAAGAACAATTTGGTCAAGATGGTCCAATAACAGTACATTGTAGTGCTGGTGTTGGACGAACTGGTGTATTTATTACATTAAGTATTGTTCTAGAACGTATGCAATATGAAGGTGTTTTAGATGTATTCCAAACTGTAAGAATTTTAAGAGCACAACGACCAGCAATGGTACAAACTGAGGTATGTATTGCTTCATATGCAAGAGCAAAAATTTTAATAATACTAATTTATATTCTAAATTCTGTTTTTTCATATTTTAGGACCAGTATCATTTCTGTTATAGAGCTGCATTAGAATATTTGGGTTCATTCGATAATTATACAAATTAATTAGAAACCAGTCACAGAAATGATAATTATTACAATTAAGAAAATATTCTTAAAAATTTAAAAAAGGAAATACATAATTATATTCAATGGAAAATAGAAAAATCAACGAAGATATTCTTTTTAATCTGAAATCTTAAAAAACAATTAATAAATATTAATTCATATTAAAAAAAAAATATTGGCTTCGCCAGTTATTATAGAATAACGAAAAAGAGAAACCAGAAAAATTCAACAAAATTTAAATATTCAAATTGAAAAAAAAAAATTTAGGAAAATTTACACGATATAATCTGAAAACAAAAAAAAATAATTTTCCTCATAAGAATCAAACATTAAAATTCCACTAAATGTATAAAAAACATTAATTTGTATTAATATTAGAAAAAATTTATTAAAATAGCGAGGAATAAAATTAGGAGGCATAAAAATGATAAATAACATTAAATAATTACGAAATAAAAATTTACCGACACAAAATTTAATGCAAATACACTATTGAATATTAATACCTAGATAATATAAATATAATATATATACATATTATATAATAATATACATTCGTATATAAAGAAACCAATGTAAAAAGCATTAGAGATTATTATTTGCTTAAATATAAGAAAATTAATTATAAATATTATATATAATATTAAAAACTATATCTTAAATACTATAAGTAAAATTTAATATTATTTCTACTTAATACTATAAATACCTACTACCTACTATTTATAATTAATTAAAATTTAATATTCACAAACGAAATTCAAAAATATATTGGAAAATATTTTAATCCGCTTTATATTTGATTTAATAAAGTTTCTATTATAGTATTATTTCTAAAAACAATTTTTTTTTGTCTATAAAAACGAAAATTTTAAATATACTTAATTTTAATAAACTCATTATTTTTATTACAGTGGTGTTCCAATATAATGAATACAACCAATTTAAAGAACGTTCCAATTATAACGAACAGCCAAATTTTTATTTTTTTGTTGCTATGGTTACATATCAATATCCGTTACATTATCCGTTATTTATATCCACATATTACATTTATCTATCATATTCTATTAATGTTTCGATATTTTTTAGTTAATTTTATTCATTTTTTCTGTAATTGAACGTATTTTAGTTTGTGTGAGTATTTGTATTATTAATCAAAGCATTTGTATTATTAATCAAAGCAGAGTATTTGTATTATTAATTAAAAGCAAAAATTGCACATAGAAACCATTTCAATATAAAAGAAAAAATGAAAATTATTGAGAATATAGTGATTGTGGTCTTTTATTAGGACAGCTAATTATTTGATTTAATTTACTAAACCAATAATAAATAAAATAATTAAAACAAGTGATTTGTAATTTTAAACTCACATAGGTTTAGAAAAGGCGAATATCATGTAAAACATATAAGCATTAATTTTTTTGTTACATTCACATTTGAATTAAAATTAAAATTCAATTTTCACTTGATTTTAGTACATATGTTTATTATTTTTGATATATTTGATATAACAAACGGTCTTAATATAATGAATCACATTATATCGTTCGTTATTTTAGAACACAACTGTAATTAGATTATTAAATGAGTATAAATAAATTAAAATTAATTTGATTTTATATTACAATTAAATTAATATATAAAAAAACAAATGAATTGTTATAAACAATAATTTATTAAAATTCAATTCAGAAATAATTTAGTAAATCTACTATTCCATAACATTATTATTATGATTTTTTTCATTCTTTAATTATTTAATTAATTATTAAGAATCTCATAATTACATTAAAAAAATTTATACATAAAATTATTATTAATTATATTTAATACTTATACTAAATAACTATAAATATTTTTTTTTTTTTAAATATAAATTGTAGTTTAAATTTATACGATTAACTTAAATTATACAAAAAAAAAAGGATTTATAAAGCGCATTACATACATAATTTTATTAAATATATTATAATTAAAATTAATAATTAAATTTTACGTTTAAAATTAACTTAAATTATAATCTATATCTTAATTACTTACTATATTATATTAAAATAAAATTAAAAAAGAATAATTCTTTTATATCTTTAAGTACTAATGAAATTGTATTAATATTATATATATAAATTATATATAACTTTTTTATATAAAACAAGAACAAAATATTAACAAAAAAAAGGGCAAAAAAAAAAATTTTAATATTATAAAAGTCAACTAAGAAAAAAATGAAAAAAAAAAAAACTAAATTATAATAAACATATTAGAAAAATATATATATATTTAAATAATTAACAAAATTATATTAAATAAAAGAATTTAGAAATTGTGGAAATGTTAAACAAAACAATATAAAAAATATAAAAAAAAATACTAAAAATAATTAAAAAAATGTAAAAAATTAAAAAAAAAAATACAAAACAACATTAATAAGAAAAAATAAAATTACTAATAAATTAAAAAAAAAAATAATTATTATGTATAGTAGCGTGTAAAAGTTAAGTTTTATAAAATGAAAATAAAAAAATTGAATATAAAACAAGAATGTAATTACGAAAAATTGTATTTGATAAATTTACAAAAAAAAAAAAGAAAAAAAAAATTAAATAAATAAAATTTTAATTTTATAAAATTTATTAATAAAAAAAAAAATATGAAAAACAAAAAAAAAAAAATTTAATTAAAAAAATTAAATTAACAAAAAAAAAAAAATGGGAGAAGGTTTAAGAAATAAAAAGAAAAATATTTTCAGTATTAAATTACAAAAATTAAAACCTATATAGAATTACATATAAATATATATATTATATACATATATGTATACATTATATAGATTATTTAAATATATTTTAAAATAAATATTTAATATATGTGCATTAAAAAAATATTTCTGTATAAAATTAACATTTATTAATATAATTTTAATATATTTATTAAAATAATTTTATATTTTATATATATACACATATAATTTAATATAACATTTTTCATAAATAATATTTATATATGTATAATAAAATTATAATAAATATTTTTTTTTTTTCTAAATTAATTAATATTCAATAATTAAGTTTATATTAGTATTTCATTTTAAATAACTTATCAATAAAAAATGCAATAATTTATTAATTAATTATGGAAAAGAAAAAAAATATAAAAAAAAAATTTTCATTTTGCATGTTCATTTCAAATACAAAATTATGTACATTTCATTTATAATTTTAATATGTTTTAAGAAATATAAATTACAAATTCTTTAGCACAATTTATTTATTAAAACACAATATTAAGTATTAATTTCTGAGAAAATAGTATAAAATAAATAAATAAAAAAAATATAATATTTTTAATAAATAGTACCCTTATGTTTAATTTTAAAATTAATTTATTAAAATTTTCGTAGTTATAGCTTTATTTGAAAAATTGTGAATTTGGAACAATCTTTTTAATTATTTCACAAATTATTTTATACATATCCTACCATTATATTATATATATACAATTTAAATCAATGAAAATATCTAAAACTCGAAGAATTCATATAAAATCTCGATACATAAAATTTGCATTTTACATAATATAAAATAGAATATGTAACACAAAATTTTATGCTTCAAATGAATTTGAATAAAAACTTGAATTAGAAAATTTTGGACTTAAAAATTTCCATATTTCTTATACCTTTCAAAAATCTAAGCAAATTATGTGCAAATTTATGGTGAAAAATTAATTCATTCTTTTATATTCAACATTATTTTTTCAGTGATGAGTTAAATTATTATTGTTCTAACATATCTATTTCAATTTATGAAATGGATGTTAATAATTTGGCGGCCAACAATGTGTTAAAATAATAATGAATTAATGTTCTTATACGATTTTAAATTTCATTATATACGATTAATATAAAACAAGCAAATTTTCATTATATACGATAAAAATAAAACAAGCAAATTGTTCGAAATTATTCATTTTCTAAAATAGAAACATATTATAATAACTACGAAAATTAATCAAACTTTTGAAAACCAATTCTTTTAATAATAATTTTTCCATAATATTGTCATTCTCCCATTTTATATAAAAATTAAATAAATAAATTATTTTAATTTGTATATTCAATTTAAAAATTAATTACTGCATTTAAAAAAAAAATTAATTTATCATATAAAATATCATTCGAAATTATAATTTTACATAATAATTATTTTATAAAATAAATGAATGCAATTTTAAATTTTAATTATTAAAAAACAAGGGAATTAAAAAATCAAAAAAAAAGAAAAATTTATAAAGCAATAATTCATTTAATTGTATATGGGATTAAAAAATACGTACATAATTATTATTATTCTTGTGTATAATGTTATTTTTAATAATATCAATTATATATTTTTTAAATGATAATGTAAATTATATAAAATATACTTAATTTTAATTAATATTTTATAATATTTTTTATAATCACGTCCTTATTTTGTACGTAATGAACACTTTTTTTTTAATTACTAATTATTTTATTATTTTTTTGTACTTATATTTTAAAAATATATTATACATAAATGATATTAAAAAAATAGAAAGCTAATATTATAATAAGTTTTAACTGGTAACAATAAAAAACTGCATTTATTTAAAAAAGAAAAAATATTAAAAAATATTGTTTTTTTTTAAATTCTTTTTATACAAATAATAAAATTATTATAGTTACGTTAATTACAAAACAATTGCTACTAATTATTATTATTATTAAAATATACAAATAATAAATATTAATATTTTATTCAATTAATTCAGATTTTTTTCTTGTATAATTGATGTTCATGTTCCGTAACTTTGTTTTGTTTTTAATTAATTAAATTAATTATTATTAATTAATTTATTTTGCCATAAAAATAATTATCGAATTAACTAGATTTTAATTAAGAAAATAGTTCTAATTTTTTACAAATTTCTGTAGTTTACAATTTTTTTTTTAATTTTAAATACTATTAAATTAGTTTATAAAAGTTAAAGTTAAGTTTTTTTTTTTAAATCTATTATGTGATAAGAAACACTAATTTTTAATTTTATTATTAATATTTTAAAAAAAAAAGTCGCCATTTTATTTGAATAAATTTTATAAAAGTTCTTGAACTGAATTGAAAGTACAGCATCAAATTTATTACAATTAGATAAAAATTCCAATAAATCTGTGAAACTTTACAAAGAAATCAAAGGCAAAATTCTCTATAAAAGTTTAAATTTATATAAAATTAAAAAGCAACTACTAATTTCAAATTTATAAACAGTTTTTTTAAACAAGAATTCGACAATTTAAGTTTTCAAATCTGATTGCTCGTCATATTCAAAAATATTTACTTAAATAAACGCATTTAATTATCGTAATATTTAATTAAGAACTTTAATTTTATTTTATGAATATTTACTATTCAAAATTACCGTCCCAAATTGTAATGCAAATCTCTCATTTATCTTAGAAACCGAACCGTTTCTCATATAATAATTAAATTAAAAAAAAAAATACATTGTATAAATACACGAAAAAAAAATAGCTTAAAAAATAAAACGCTTATTTGAAAACATCTTATAATTAGTTGTAATCATTCCATTCAAATAGTGTTCATACATATATCACAGTTAAATACAACAATATTTATAAAATAATATAAGAATATAAATTTTACCTTATAAATAGTAATTTTGACAGCCTTATTTTAATTAGCTTGATTTTAAAAATTCATGTCTCTTAAATATGATCTTAAATTAACATTTTCTAAATTAACATCTTATCAAAATGAGAAATCATTTAAATTGAGATACGTTTTCACTAAAATAGAATCATAATTTCAAATCAAATTTTACATTACCACTTACAAATAGTGTTAAACAATGAAATTTTTAAGAACAATCATGACACTTTTCAACAAAATGTGATAATGTATAAAAAAATTTTTTTTGATAATTCGCTAAATAATACTTTTAATATTTCGATAAATAATTAATATTATTAATGAATTTGAATTAAAATTTCAATGCAATAAAATCGAGAAAATTAAAATAAAATTAATTCAAATTTCATATAATTCCGAACAAAGTCTTATGATATTAATAAATTTATCAAAAATATAATATTTTCTTCTTAATTAATCTCATTCTAAACTGAGCTAATAAACTAGTAAATCTTAACTAGTAAATATTTAATTTAAAAAATATAAAATAATAGCAATTTATGAAACGAAAACAATTAACATTTTTACATATCATAATTTACAATATAAATTTTATAAGTTTAAAAAACTGCCATTATAAAAATATTCTTGCCATAATTTATAAAAAAAAAAAACAAAATACGTAATTCCTATAGTCTTCCATAATATTCTGATATACTCATAAGGTACATTAGAATCACATTAGAACTCCAACAATTTTAACTTAATTTTATTAAAGAAACGTTTTCCCATTTCTCTTCTTAAAACAAAGTTAAAGAAAGCTGTCAAAATATTATATTTCATTAATATTATTAGCTAATTAATAAATAATAAAATAATAATTAAATAATAATTTTAAACAGAATTTAAATTCAATAATTTGGCGACTATTTATAATAAAAATAAAATATTTT